TTGCAAATATTACTTAGGCATTCCGCATGCTTCATCTTACATTCCAGTAATGCTCCGCGAGATTCCCGCCTCCCCCGTGAAATATCGGTATTATTCTTGTTTTCCACCGAGTTAGCTCTAGCCAGGAGGCAGTCATTTTCCTAATGCCCTCAAATTAGCTCTCTTTCAAACGAGCATTGTTTTTAAATGCATGGGGAGGAGACGTGGAAAAAGAAAGGGGGTGGGGGAGACACCTGAACACTGAGATTTTGGAAAACTGAAACTTTATTTAGGATTCCTTCAGTCTCTCCAGTTACCGGAAATGCCCTTTGTCCAATTTCGTGAAGACACCTTGAAGCGGAGCGTTTCGTGTGAACCTGGTTTACAAAAGGAATTCTGAGCCGGCGGCGTTTCGCATGGAACCGAAAAACTTTGCATGTTTCAGCGCTCGCTGAAGTTCACGAATCCCGAACCTGTAGCTGATTTCTTGTCGCGGGTTCTGTCTTCTACTGGCTGGCCTGGGACGGTGTATTTTCCTCCCTGGCCTGTGGAGTCCTGCGTTTTATATAAACACACAAAACAAATAGTTTCATCTGAGCAATCCAGGCCGAAGTATCACAATTGTCACACGGCCTGTTTAAATTGTCTATAACTATAAAGTCATGTTGTCTCTTTAGCAGATTGTGTAAGGGGCTAACACACTTCTGTCTGGCCAGTGGCCTATTTGATATAGTTACAGTGTGTTCGCTGCAGAGGCTAAAACAGTGGGGGAAAGGCCATGCGAGATGAGGTACTTTCATTTTTTTAACTGGGCTAACTATGTCCCAGCATAATTGCCCCACATGACAGTGCTGATCATAGAAATACCCAGCGCTAGGCTACAAAACAGTGTAACAAATCCGCCTTGCAGAACAACTGGCACTGTACTATAGATAGAGTCACCAAACCAGGCTTTTTATTTGTTCGACTATCTCAGTCAGACGTAATGGCGAAGTTTGTGGTACTGTACATTGAGGACAGGCCAAGGGAATTTCAGGAACATTTTCTTTGAAGGGGACCAAAAGAGATCTAACGTGAAAATACAAACCGTCACCTTTCTTTCAACAATATTTATGAATGGTTGGTAATCAGTGACCTTTATTAATTCTACTGAGATTCCCAGTGCTTCCCTGGCTGCTAACTATGCCGCTTTGATTAATTATTTGTGTGATTCTGGGCAGGATAAGCTCCTCTGTTTAT